CCTCCTCCTTCCTCCTCCTCCTTCCTCCTCCTCCTTCCTCCTCCTCCATTCCTTCCTTTCCTTTCCCTCTTCTTTTCCCTTACCCATGCGGAGCCCCTGGCCGGCTGTCGGGCGTAAGCCCTTGAACATAGATTCTTCCAGGGGTGCAGTGTACAGTGCACAAAGCGACCCATGGTGGACGTCGCGGCATTTTAGGCTGGTTTGGCACATCAATATGCAAAAGGACATGCATGGGGAAGGGAGGCCCTATTCAGTAGGAGGTGACCCAACTTCTCTCCCGATTGTTTTTGCCTACGCAAGGAGAACTCACGCAGCTGAAGCTACCTTTCGTGAGCTATCAGTTGTGCATCAGCTGTCAGTGTTGTAGGATCATCGAACAGCAAATTACTGAGAACAATGATGCCCCACCCAAAACCCATCCTGACAGAAGGCCATGCAAATCTTCGGTCGGATCTGCCGTGTCTAAACCCAAAATGGTGCCAGCTGACAGGGACGAGTGATTTTGCTGCCGCGCGCCATCAATCTCTGAACCCAGAATAGTTCCAGTTCCTGATTGTTCGGCTTCGGCAGCGGCCAGGGACAACAACAATCGCTGGTGGGTATCAAAGTCCGGTGACTCCATGTCTGAAATGTCTGAACCTGTAGGATCTGATGACAGTGAAGCTGGTGGACGTCTTTGACCCGTGACATCTGCCCCCTCGGCTAAGAGATCCAGGCCCAATTGCCCAACGCCAGGGCGGCGCATCAGAAAACCATGAATGGAACCAGGGGCGGAGCGTAGCTACGTAGCCAGGAATCTACGCTGGATAATACCAGGCTTTGATCCAACAGTTGCAGAACCAGTCTCCGTTGTCCAGCTACATGCAGAGACAAATGCGGGCGCTCTTTCGCAAGCAATTTGTATGCAAAGGACTTGCCTTTCTCTGGGGCCGCTCGTAGTTTTCAACAGTTCAGATGTCTGCTGTTCAATTTCTGAAGAACAAAACCTAGGACCTAGAATGTTGCAAGTGTGGAGAGAAACTTGTATAGGAACAATGGTCTTGCTAGTATCCGGAACTATGCCTGTCGAAAAGCTCCAGGCTGCCGTTTTGTGATGCGTTGGACAATTTGGAAAAAGCCTCACCAGGTCAGGTCAATGAGGGCAAACTGAAAAAAATCAAACAAAGCAAGAACTCGAAGAACAAAGAGAGAAAGAGCTGAACAAAAGATAGACAATAGTCCAAACTTACACAGCAAGGGACATTGGCCAAGTTTGAGAGTTCCCCAGCACTCAACCTCAGTGAACAAAGCATGCTTTAGGCATCAAAAGGACTTGCTGTAGATCATTAAAATGACAACAGCAAGCAGTCTGCTACTTCTTTCACAAGTCAACCTTGCATGTGCTTTGCGTCAATGCATGAGGAGTCCTCTTGCAGAAGGCAACAAAACTGATTTGGTCCCGCTTCTTTGAGAGCCTTGGAGTCCTTGCTTCAGCAGCGAAACCCCATCGTTGTCCATCAACCTTTTTCTCAAATCCTGCGTTCTTTTCTGAAACACCGAATTGTCGACAAATTCCTAGAGTAGAGACTCTGCTACAGTCCTTAAACAGAATGTCTGCCTTCATTGGCCCATGAGCCTTAGTGTATGTATATAAAGTTCTCAATTTTCTGAGCATGGGGCCTTGTGTTCCAGTGCGAGGTCAGGGCATATGCATGCGCAATCAAACAAAGATCTGATGATGAGAGTTCCTCTCCTGTTAAGGCAAGGTGTTGGTATGGCCGAGGCATGCGATAACACGGCGCCAACACAGAGAGCCTGAAGAATCCTGCAATCTTTGTCGAAGCCTCAGCACATGCATTGGGCGGGCTGAAAAGTAGAAACCGAAGAGACACATGATTCACGTTGAGTCGTTAAGATTCAGACTCTGGTGCTGCCCGCTGCAAAAATTTCCCTGGACCTGAGTCTTCAAAAGCTTCCCCTAGCACCAGCAAAACAGGCCATTGGCAGCCAAAAACTGTGAACAAAAATTGGGAGGACAAGACGCATAAACAGGCAGTGATAGTTGTGTGCAAGAGTCACCTAAAATGAAGTCGTTGGCAATAAAATGGTACTGCCAATGTCCACATATAAAGCAGTGGGTTCTTGTCAAGTGTTGGTACCGCTGATAGTGTGATGTGTCTGTAGCACACTCTACCATTTACCCACAATGCGACGGGTTCTTGCCTAGAAGTTCTGTAATCAATCCTACTGGCGCAAAACGCGAAGTGCTGAAACCAAGGGACACAATGCAGGGCGCGGAGGGCAACAACCAACCCACAACCATCACCCACCACACCATCCTGCACCGTTAACATAATATCATGACAACCACGGGGCCATGGACATCTGAATTGGATGGATATTTGTCCGTGATTTTTCAGAGTTTTTCCTGATTTTTTCACGTCTTTTCCCCTACCATTTTTGTTTTTGCTTCTGCTGGGAGTGCTTTACAAGCACTAGGAGCAGCAGAAAAGGCAGGGGACGAAGCACCAAAGCCAGCGTGACAGTGACAAATGGAGGGAACAGAAAAGGTATTCCACTTACTAGGGACTTCTTTGCGGCTGTCTTTAGCTTCACTGGTTTCGGGTTTCTTTGGGTTCAGTTTCTTGTCTTTAGGGTTTCTTTAGGCGTTCTTCCGGAAAAGGCATCCCACTTAACGAAGGAGAAGTAGGAGGAGAGAGGAACTATAATATATAGGGACTTTTCTGCGGTTGTCTTTGGGTTTCAGTGGTTTCGGGTTCCTTTGGGCTAAGCAAAGTAGAAATCCACCTTTGTGGCAGCGTCAACGCAAAGAAAATAGTAGTTGTGGTAACTGTGGTAAGACTCGTAGCGGGGTGGTCCGAGTGATAGAGGCATTGGAAATAGTAGGGGTGGTGGACGGTAGTGGCAACTATAAACAAAACAAAGCGGGAGGGGGGGGGGAGGGCGCAGCGCCTCCCCCGCAATGCAAATCAAATATAGACAGCGCTGGGCCGCTTCGTTCCCCTTGATTGGTGTAATTGGGTGTCAAAGCTCAAGGTGAAGGTCTTATCATCCAACCTTGTGGCAGTGTCAATGCAAAGAAGATAGTCAGCAGAAGCAAAAGCAAAGGCAGAAGCAAAAAACAAAAGCAGAAGGAAAAGCAAAAAGCAAAAGCAAAAAGCAAAAGCAAATGCAGAAGCAAAGGCCAAAAGCAAAAAGCAAAAAGCAAAAGCAGAAGCAAAAGCAAAAGCAGAAGCAAAAAGCAAAAGCAGAAGCAAAAGCAAACACAAAAAGCAAAAGCAGTAGGTGAAAAAAAACGAAAAAAATTACCGGAAAAAACCTGAAAAATCCTGGCAAATAGGGGTTCCATCTGAATTTGGCACGAACACCCTGCTGCGGCACACCTCAGCGGCACCAGCATCCAAGCTTCAAGGCGCACACGCCATGCACTCTTGGCAACCTGCAGCGGAACCAACAACACCCAAGCCCCAAAGCACAGCCATACACCTTGGAGCGGACCCTGCAGCGCCACCAGCACGCAGCGCACGCAGCCATGCAGCCAGCGCCACCACCCAGGCTCCAAAGCGCACACGGGATCTATTGTCTGGCAGCGACACTGACACAGGCTTGAACTAAGAGCACCAACAGTTTTTGCTACCTTGGGGAGAGTTGGGCTCCAGATGTCTCTTCTGTCTTATCTTCTATGACCCAGGCTGGCCCGTTTCAAACTGACTGTCTCCAAACTGCCACGCCTTCGCACTCTGCAGCAGCAAGGCGCAACACCACCAAAGCGCACACAGTAGGCTCAAAGCGCAGATGGCCACGCACGTCTGGCCTGCAGCGGCCCGTCACCCAAGGTTGAAAGCGCGCAAAGGCGCATGTACTTGCCCAGCCCACAAAAGCGCACACTGCCTACATCTGGCAGCATCTCCCCAGCATCCAGGCTCCAAATCGCGCGGTGGCACCAGCGCCCAAGCTCCAAAGCGCGCACGGCCACACGCCTCTGGCAGCGGAGCGGCCTTGCAGCGGCATCCGCGCCCAAGCCCCAAAGCACACGCGGCCATGGACATCTCGCAGCAGCACCCTGGAGCGGCACCCTGCACCAGCACCTGCACTCACGCTCCAAAGCGGACACAAGCACCTCTTTCTATGCTTGATCTAAGAGATCCGCAATAGCTCTCGCTATGTGGGGAATGAAGTAAGAACCCCAATAGCTCGCGCTATCTGGGGAACACAACTGGGACCCCATCACAACAACCACAACCAGACTGGAACACCATCACAACCACAGCATGGCTTATGCGGAAAAATGTTCCACAAGTTGAGACAAGATCCAAGTCGTTTGCCATCCACCTAAGGCCGCCGCTAGAACCGCCAGCTTCGTTGGCGAGATCTGCAAAAGAACTTTGTTGGTATGGGAGGGCAATTCAATCGGTGCACATCAATGCCAATCAAACTGTCCCGAGCAACTACGAGTGCGCCAAGGCTGCTGAAGGCCCGGCTGCTTGCGCGGTGCACCAAACGGCAAAGCACATAGCTTGACATCCCGGAACAACCTGGAAGAGCTGTCATACCGTCAGCAACAGCAAAGGAATGGGCCGGGCTATCAAAAAGAAAATAGATATATATATATATCAAAAAAGAAAATTTTCTATATCCTATCAAAAAGAAAATTAATTAGTATCAAAAAGAATATATCCTTTCACAAAGAGCTGCGCCTGCCACTGCGAACCGCCTTGCAGCGCTGCGCGATGTGAATCTGGATGAGCAGATTTCGTGGCAGGCGCAGCACTTTGAGCGCCTTCAGTAGCAGATTTCGTGGCAGGAGCGGCACTTGGCGCACTGGAAGTGCAGATTTCGTGGCAAGCACAGCACTTTGAGCACCTCCAGTGGCAGGTTTTGTGGCAGGAGCGGCGCTTTGCGCACTGGACCTGCAGATTTCGTGGCTGGCAGGCGCAGCACTTTGAGCACCTTCTGTTGCAGGGCTCGTGGCAGGCGCAGCACTTTGTGCACTGGAACTGCAGATTTCATTGCAAGCGCAGCACTTGAACCTCGAAGTGCAGATTGCGTGGCAGGCGCGGTCGCTCACAAAACAAAGGCTTGCTACGTTGGAATGACAACTTCTTCCTCTAAATTTTACCTCGCAAGGCTAACAAAAGGTCTGCAACGTTGGAATGGCCCATCAGGGTGGCTCACAAAAAAAGGTCTGCTACGTCTGGTGATAAAAGGTCTGCTACAGTGCTTCACAGGATGTATGACCAGATTTCCAAATCACCTTGAACGCGCCTTGCCTTGAAAGTGCAGACCCAAGGACCCGAAGACCAGGACGAAGGACCAGAGGATGAGAGGACCAAGGACCAGGGGACCAAGGGACCAGGCGACCAAGGGACCAGAGGACCAAGGGACCAGAGGACCAAGGGACCAGAGGACCAAGGGACCAGAGGAATAAGGGACTAGAGGACCAAGGGACCAGAGGACCAGGGGACCAAGGGACCAGGCAACCAAGGAAGCGAACAGGGAACCAGCAGGCCAGGACCAAAGGAGTAGAGGGAATCTTCTTTTTGATACGAATTAATGTTTCTTTTGATAGGAAACAATGTTTTTTTTGATAGGAATCAATTTTCTTTTTGATAGGTATCCCAAACGAATGGCCCGCCTTCCAGCGCACGTGTAGTAATTCTTGCAATGTCATCACGGCATTCTCGACCTTGTCGTAGATTGACTGTTTTTCAGTACAATTTGGTTTGTTGATTTTTTGGCCTTCGCACCCCAGGATGTACTCTAGGTTCTGCTTCTGGGGAGTCTGAGAGTAAAGCCAACCCTGTAATGTTGGGCTGCTGTCATTGCTGCCAAGAAAGCCTTGCAGTCTACCAACCAACCACACATCCAAAAGGGCGAAACACAAATAAGCCTCCCACATACTCTGGAAAGCATGCCTGCCAAAAAAAGAACGGACAATGCCCTTTTTAAGGCATTCCAAGGGGCCTTCCGGCCACGCACCACTAATGTTTCCTGGAAGGGACAAAACTAACAAAACCAAAACTCCGGTTCCGCTCCAGACAGGGTGGTGTGGAAAATCATGATATGTTTTTTCCGACGCTGCAGAAATGTGCTGTTCAAGGTTTGGCTGAATAGAGCACCTTTCAAATTTACAAGGTAGCAATAGCAAGGGCGGCTAAAACAAGCCGTGACTCTAACTCTAACTCCAACTCCGAAAGACCTTGAAGGGAACTATGATGTCACTGCGCCTCGAGGAGCCTAGTATTGTATTGCTTTGCTTTGTGTGTAAATGTTCAATTATATAGTATATTCCGCACGTGCCTCAAAATGCTAAAAAGCCTGGTACACCCTTAAATCTCAAAACTGGATTCACATAAGAGTCACGTCCTTTCCTGAACCGTCTGTTCATACAGCCTGAACCCTGGGTCCTAGAGCAGTTCCTACGAACCGTGGATCCTAGACAACCAGTTAAACAGCATCCTACAACCTGTGTCCTGAGGAATCCCTACGAACTGGGTCGTTCAAACCCCTTCCCAAACTTAACAAAGAAAGTGGTCCTATAATGTCCTATATAGTCTTTGATTCAAAAACCCTATCAATGGACCAAACCTAACAAAGACGTTGGCTCAACAAAGAACCTCACTGGTCTTACTTTGTTCCTAAACCCCTACAAGACAAGTGTTTTCAACCCCGAGAAACAAAAGCATCATGTCAAATCTCGCAATGGAGAACATGATCGCACAGCTCATTCTGTCTTTGGAGAAGCTGCTGAATCTCCAGGCCTCTTCTTCAAGAGATTTATTGATTTGCAATGATAAATGTATTCCCGAACGACTTAAAGGACCAAACGCTGCAAGCTGTTTTACCAGAAAAAGAAGACGCTACATCCATACAATCACGATGGCAATCTAATGACAACGATGACAATCCAATGTATAAGGATAAAATGACAATCGGATGACAACAATCTGATGCAAGGCAAATACAGCAGAATGTACCTATCAGACCTATCATCTTTGTGCCATGTTTAAACGCCCACAAGAGGCAAATCATCCCCCCACCCCCCATGACAATCTTGTGAGACCCATGAACTCAGATCATCAGCCATGGAACATCAACAGAACGAAACGGCCAGGCGACTGAGGGAACGGCGGGCGACTATGAGCGATGAAACTCATTGAAATGTTGCAATGTAGCAATGTATCACTTCAATTGTGATCAAGACCCATGAAAACCAAAGGCAACCCATTCGACAATATTTGGCAAGTGATTTGTGACAAGACTGAAGTGCAGTCCTTCTGGGCTCGTCTTCGATGGCGTCTCCCAACCGAAAGACTGGCCTGCAAACCAAATGACACTGTGCTTTGCTGGCAACAGCGACATGGCTTTGTCAAACAAATAATGACAAATCTGGTCAAGTCAAGCCAAATCCAATCGAGTCTGGCCTGTGCAATTGCAGCAGCTGTTGAAGAAGCATGCCCAGCTGCCAAAAGCCGTCGAGATCGGATCCCTAGGACAAAGTTCACACAACATGCGCTTCCCAAGTGCTCAAGCAAGCTGCACCTGTGGCCACTGCCAAGGCAGCCATCTTGTTGAGCAGCTCAGGAACGAGTGTTGGGTCTCTTCGGTAGTCTGCCTTGCAAGCTCGTCACTGACTTATCATTCCATTTGATGCCTCGCAGCATTGTAAGTTGCGCCTTCACGCAACAAAACAGGACCAGTCCGATGTCAGCTGGCGCCAAGTGAGACCTCACACTTGGCAAAACAGAATCCCTCATGTCAGGGTGAATACATCAAACTGCAAGAGATGAAGAGCTTGTCTCAATAAGTGCCCGCACAGCTCACGGCGAATTGCGTCGGCAAAGGTCTCCCATAGCATCATGTCCCAACGCTTCTCCACACAGGCCTCAAACATACCAAATTACTTAAATGAAACAAAGTTCAGATTGAGCGTGCATGCATTTTGAAGGTTGTTCAAGAGGCAGCAGCCGCAGTTGTGCCTTCAACATTGAATGAATCAAGGCAGTCGAAGAATCCATTCGGTGCCGTCGTAAGATTTTTCCAATCGGACCTGGCCAATAATGCATGGTTTGTGACAAGTGTATCGAATTTACATTATATAAACAATCGAAAACAATGCATTCCAGCACCTCTTGCAGCACCAACCAGTCGCCCATGTTCAGTTTCGCCTTAAGCTGCTGTAAAAGTGCAAGTGCAAGTCTCACATACAAATGTATTTCCGACCATGCCTGTAAAACTTGTCAATGCAAAGTCACGTTCGTGGTATGCACCAACCAGGTCGAAGGGAACACGATCGATGATCTCCATGTGCCGTAGCCTGAATTCAGAGCTTCGTTTCCCAGCTGGTGTTCAAGGCTGAAGCCGCGATGTTTCACAAATCCGCCCGCACCGAAAGTGCTGCGGGGCATTACACTCTTGGCTCGCGTTACGCCATATAGTTTTAGCTAGGGGAGGCATTTTCGTTTGGGAAGGAAATTGGATATCCCGCATCATGAGTGTGTCTGGGAGACAAGTGAGAGTGGGAGAAAACATAGAAAAAAACAAACACATGGCTTTCATATATCATCTATGTCTCACTATATGTCTCATTGTCGTATCATTTGCATCACCACGTCCATGAAGGGCAAATAAACAACTCCTCTCAACAGTCTATGTCCTACTCTCCCTCCAACATTCATAGCAGCCACGGATTTAAAAATCCATGCCATGCTTGTGGCACACAAAAAACACCTGACACAAACATAGAAGTCGGAAAAATCGAGAAGAATCTGAGACCACCGCTATCATGGAAACTGGGCACCCACTGCGTGGCTGCCATGTTAGTTTTGAAAGTTAAGGGGGATCGTCAGAAAAACCCTTGAGAAATACAGCTAACATGAACATTTAGAATTCTGCACTGTCCGCGTGGTTTCTACGTAATCATATGCATCATCAGCAGTTGCATATCTCATTGAGGTAGCATATGCACCAGCTATTTGCAAGTGTACTGTATATTTATTGTACCAACTTCCTCAAGTTAGCAACTCAATTTAACTTTGACCCCCTGAGAGCCTGAAGAATGTACAGTTTCAAGGGGTCGAAAAAATATATCCAACAGCGCTTGCAAACATTGAAAAAGGTACAACTTCAAGCGGGTCGAAAAAATATCCAACGATGCTTGCAAAATTCAAACAAGACATAGCTAAACAACTTTAAGGAGATCCAAAAACAGAGTGATCATTATGGATACTTCTTTTATTCTAGCGTTCATCTCCAAGTCTTGTCTCGACCATGTACATTGTATAGTTTATTGTACACAATCACTCTATTTTTCGAACCCCCGGAAGATGTACCATGTCAAGGGGGTCAAAAAATAGATCCAACAATGCTTGCAAAATGCAAAAAAAACGTTGTCATAGGATAGACTTGGATTTGAACGAAACGCGGGCTGTCTTGGACATGTAAAGCTCAGAGGGGTGCCCTTTTTCATCCGGCTAACAGGCGCTTCACAAGAAAAAAGGGCACCCCTCAAGCAACTGTCTCTACGAAGAAAGAGATTCTAGCCAGCACAGACTCTCGCCGCTATTGTTGGTAACGGGATGGACACACTCGCTTAGCCCTGTGAGATCGTTCCTGCACTTCGGGGGCGCCCTTTTTCTTTTGGCTTGGGGGCGCGTTCAAGCTGAAAAAGGGCACCCCTAAGGCACTGAGGGGTGTTTGGCTGCCATTCGTTTCTTCGTCTTGTATCAGAATCAAAGTCGGTGCGCTGCCAAGAGTGGACCGACGAATGTTGACCAAAGATGTTGTTATGGGTGTAGCTGACATTGCACCGACCTCTACTGCTCTTAGGCACGGGGAAATGGAAGGTTTCATACATAGAATGCCCGATCAAGGCCTAGTCACTGCCGCGCATGAGGACAAAGGTTGATCTGAGTAGGACATGGACGGTTTGGGGGTGGTTTTTTCTCCTGGCTCAAAGCAAGCAATGCACAAAGCATACCAAATGTGGTTTCAATCAAGTTGAATACATATTTTGAACGACGATAATGTGTTATACGGGCGCATTGATTTCACGATTGTTTGTATAGAGCTTAGCGCAGGACCTTGGAGGCTGGTTGTCGTCGGGCTAGAAAAGCGTCCACGGGGCCCCCGAAATGGAACAAAAAATGACACCTGATGTCACGACGCTTCGACTGAGGGCACTGCAAAAGCACATCTCACTTTGAAGCTAGATCTGCTAGAGCCAATATATGCTACGCCTGGATCAACTCCCGTACCAAAGCCCAACTTTGTTGGACATCTACAGCTCTGAGGGGTGCCCTTTTTCATCCAAAACAACCCTCTTCACCATAAAAAGGGGCACCCCCAAGCAACTCACAGGTTGCTGACTGCATTCTATTCCCTCTCCTTACGGGTGACATCGTTTCTTGCGTTCCCTTCCACTCTTATTGGCCACTACAAAACGGACGGCTGAGAGACGCACATCTCACTTTCCTCTGTCACGTTGTCCCCCGCGAACCCTCGTCGAAAGACTGTCCAAGTAGCCTCCTGAGCCCCTCATGATGCTAATGATGCACTATTTGGCGTCAATCACATCACTCGCACCACAACACCCCAAAAGCCACACATGTTCAATTCTTTTTCGCGACTTTTTTGATCGCCTCTTTTTGTTCGCTCTCCTCCACCAGGCTCTGGGTTCACCCCTACCCGGCTGGGCCGGAGGTGCGACCACCCCCCCACACCCCTATACTCACTTCGCTCGCCCGTCGACAACTCCAGCCTAGCCTATCGGCTGGCTTTCATGATATATATATATATGTATATTATAGAGATATAAACTTGAGGCCAACTTGCGGCCGCACTCGCTCACTCGCTCACTCTCACTCTCACTCTCACTCTCACTCTCACTCTCACTCTCACTCTCACTCTCACTCTCACTGTCTCTCTCTCTCTCTCATCTCTCTCATCTCTCTCATCTCTCTCTCATCTCTCTCATCTGTCCCTCATCTCTTTCTCCTCTCTCTCTCATCTCTCTCTCCTCTCTCTCTCATCTCTCTCTTCTCTCTCTCTCTCTCTCGTAGCAGCAGCCACCGCGACGTCTCCTTGACTGCCTCCAAAAAGAGCGCCGTGTTTTTTCCTACCCTGCCCTCCACTTTCCCATTCTGGAGCGCTAGCTTTCGCCCCCCCCCCATACGCACGCCAAAGAGCGACGACAGGACGGAGTCGAACTTGCGAAGAGGGAGGGAGGGAAGGGAAGGGAAGGGAAGGGAAGGGAAGGGAAGGGAAGGGAAGGGAAAGGGAAAGGGAAAGGGAAAGGGAAAGGGAAAGGGAAAGGGAAGGGAAGGGGAAAGGGAAAGGGAAAGGGAAAAGGAAAGGGAAAGGGAAAGGGAAAGGGAAAGGGAAAGGGACAGGGAAAGGGAAAGGGAAAGGGAAAGGGAAAGGGAAAGGGAAAGGGAAGGGAAAGGGAAGGGAAAGGGAGGGAGGGAAAGGGAGGGAGGGCAAGGGATGGAAAGGGATGGAAAGGGAGGGAAAGGGAGGGAAAGGGAGGGAAAGGGAGGGAAGCCACACTCTTCAATTCCGATTGAAGGTACGCCTTAACGGCGTCTGCCGATGACAACTTGTGTCCCTCAAAAAGACCAAAAGAAATAACGCTGTTAGCTGCAACAATCGAAGCAGGGGACGCAGCTAGCGTCTGGTAGAGCGCCAGCTTCCCTTCAGCCGTCTTTGCAGAATCGCCACGGTAACACACGCGACCCTTCAGAGCACGAAGCTCTGGGGCCAACTCAACATGCTTTTCGCTGCAAATAGCAAGCAAGTCTGCAATGTGGATGGTCTCTCCACTCTGCAAGGCAACCTCCTTCACGCGGAACTCCTCATCAACCGACTCAAGCTCCCATGTTCCCATGGAACCAACACCATCGAACTCCTTGCGGATCGCCTGCAGTGCATCAGGTCGGGGCAACACTTCGTTCCGGGTGAGCTGTCTCGTCACTAGGGCGTATACCCCAGCTGCAACATCTTCCGGTGGGACATACCCCTCGGGAAGTTCATCAGGAGAGTACTCGGGACCTTCAGTGGTCTCCGGCTCAACCCAATGTTCCTTTTCTGCTGCTCCTTGGAAGGGGAAGAAGAAGTTTTCTCTGAACTCTTTGGCATTGGAAGCGGTCCAGGTGTCTTTGGCGCTCCGACATCTGGCGCCGGTGTAGGCGGCGCTGCAGCTTCTCTAGGGAAGATGGCATCAAATCGCTCGCGACATGCCTTGTTGTGGCGGTAATGGCCACCATCGCATCCAGGGCAACCCTTCGTAAAACCATGCTCCAACAAACGTGAAAAAGCGATGTATGCATGACGTGGGGGTGCAACTGGGGCGTCTTCCGGAAAAGCATCAATGTCAATGTCATACGGGAGCACGCCCGACTCAAGAGATCTGTCATAGATCTTCTTCTTCACCTCAACTTCAGGATCAGACATGTCCTTCAACGCCTTCATTGCCGCGTTGGACAAGGGAAACTCAATGTGCTCAACAGGAGGAAAAAACACCTCCTTCTCGTGCAAGTCCTTGGGACTCCAATGCAAATGCGCTCTGGCGCGGACAGCTTCATAGTCAACAACTTGTACGACATTGCGGTATCGCAAGCCTGAGTCAACACGCCATCCTGCAAACAAGCCTGGTCTTGTAGTTGGAGCGGCCATTCCATCGCTCTTGGCCCTGTAGAAAACAAGTGCACCAAGAGGGTACTCCACTCCAAGGAAGGGCTCACCTGTGCAAACGTCCCAACGGGTCTTGCCAGTCTTGAGCTCCTCAATCTCCGTCCCACGCTCATGCTTGCGAATCACACAAGGCGACCAAAAGGCACGAGCTTTTGCGGTGTAAACAACGGAGATCGGCCACATCTTCTTGCTGAAGCCGGCCTGGAGATGCGCTGGTCTGCACAACTCTTTCAACGTCCTCACCTCACGTTCGACGTGGGCCGCGTGAGGCCAATCCCTGGGGACGCTCGGGGATATAGTCCAGCACAGCCTGGATGCCGCTCCTGTCAACTCACCGGCTGCATCTGATTTAAAAATGACACCGGTATCACCGTTCAGCCTATGGCCACCGAAGTGTTTCAATGAGTTGTAACAGGATTCTTCTGACCTGTCTCTGGCCGGATAGGCCATGCTCAGACCGGAGAAGAGATCAACGATCACCAGGGCCACCTTCTCCCCAGCGTTGCTCACGCTTTCCTCTGACGGAAACATGTGGTCGGCTTCGAGCACACGGCCAAAAGCAGCCGAGCGCTCGTAGGCTTCATCACTAGGCTCAGGTCGAACTCCGTGGGCATATCTTTTCAACAT